GGTGTGGGTGTGGGTGTGGGTGTGGGTGTGGGTGTGGGTGTGGGTGTATGGATGTTAGTGTAAAGAGACCCACATCCATACTCACAGCCACACACCCACACCCCACACCCACACCCACACCCCACCCACACCCACACCCACCCACACCCGTCCCTCCAGGATTCAGTAGCACTGGAATTACATGAATATCTTTCAAAAGTATTAACAAATCAAAGTTTTGATATTGGTCTTGATCAAAATCTTCATCACATGAATTCGAGTGAAAAAAATCATCGACAACAACTTACTATATATGCATTATATGACTGTCTCTCAATGCAAAGAATCATCATATCGATGAAAAATAATAAATTCAAATTTATATCTTCAAATGAAAATATTCGATTTGTTTATTTTGAACTTTCACCAATTATATCAATTGATAATGATGATGATATTTTTTCAATTGAGCAACCTACTGTTCATCAATCAAATAAACAAAAATTTTATTTTAAAAATCATGATAATTCAACCAAAAAAAATTCATCAAAAATTGAAACAAATACTCCATCTACAGAAATTCCTATAAACAATTCTCAATTTTCATTAACAAAAATTGATTCAATTCCATCATCTACTTATGCACGAACAAATTCACTTGATTGGAATTTCATATCATCTAATAATAATAATCCAATAACAATTGATCCATCAAGTGAACAATCAACATCTTTATCAAATCATCAATCAAATGAAAATATTCCAAATTATACACTTCAATTATCTTTAATCTCATCTGGTGATGATGGCATAATTGTACCTATGGAGCATGATACACCATCAACAAATCGAAACGTTTATCTTATTAGAGCATATCCAACAGCATTAGATATTCCAACTCAATCACCACTACCAACTAAGTCGAATACATCAACAAAACCAAAATATGAAAAAGAACTCTCAGCTGAAGAACGAAAAAAACTTCATAACAGAACGTGCACGTTAAAGCAAAGAACAAGATATTTCCATCACAAAATTACCAAAAAAAATATTGATAAACGTTTTACTATTAAACAAATAAAAAAGATTTTAAAACAACATGATATACCAGTTACAGCTGTAAATTTTTTACGTTCACCAAATACAAATGAAAAAACATTAGCTATTGGATTAAAAGACATAACCAAATTATCAACATATGAAGATATAGTCGTCGACTTATTTACAAAACAACATTATGAACAAATTCGACATAACAAATCCAAATCTCGATCATCAACTCGTCGTCATTTGAATCATCATCATTTCTAATTGAAGAAAAAATAGTAAACAAAATCGTCAGAACATTTCGTTACCTTACGTTGTTATTAAATACACGTGAGAAAAAAAAATCATATACGTTTATTTATCCATTTGATGAAAATCGTTTTCTTAGTTTTTTTTTTTTTGTACTTCATTTTTCTTTTACGTTTAAACAGTAACTCTTGGTGAAATATACCGTTATCTTTGTTATTTGTTTCTCATCTATTATTATTTATATTATTATTATTTTTCTTTCTTTCTTGTCTATCGTTTTTTTTGTCTATGTTTGGAAAATGTTGATAGATCACATTTTTTCTTCCAATCGGGAGTATGTTACAGTGGATGTCGCTCGTTTACAACTCATCTATTGATCCTATATCTGTAATCATATATATATATTTCTTTCTCGTCGATATCTAGTCTTTCTTTTCATTTTCTTTTCTTTCTTTTCTGTATCCAATATATATACATATGTTTCAGTTCATTTTATTATTAGCAGGAATAAACTAGAGTGAAGAACACAGTTAGTGTTCGTCACGAAACGAACGCTAACACGCCTCGTTAAAAACAAATTTTGTCTAAGTTTAATTTTGCCTAAAAGTTCAATTTTGCCTGCGACATATACCTATGTTGGCCTTTTTTAAATAGAAATTTCCAACTTACCTTTTTGTCAGTGACTCATGTGTATAATGACGCTTGACGGGTAATATAAAAAGGTAGTTGCAACTAAACATCACCTCTTTCTTGTTTAGTTAAGCAGAGAAACGCAAAATCATAAACGCTTCAAAATAATTTTTGTTTCCTAAACTTGGTAGTACGATATTTACTAATCAAGTGGGATATAATCATGATAAACAGTGAAGCAGACAACTTTCTTCAATCAACTTCATTATCGGAAGAAGGTGATATTGATCGAGATCGTATCATTGATGGTCATCTCGTACCCGATGAATATTTCTGTCCTGTTTGTCAATGTCTTTTATGGAAACCATGTTCATGTGCTTCATGTCGACATCTCTTCTGTCAAAAATGTCTTTATACATGGCTGGAAAATTCATATAGTCGTGACAGATGTCCATTTCAATGTGAACCATTTGAAGAAGGACGTTGTCCACCATATATTAATTCGTTATTAGATCGTTTAAATATTCATTGTCGAAATGTTTCATTTGGTTGTAGAGAAGTTTTATCCTACAGTTCGTTGGAGCAACATGAAAATATGGAATGTAAATATCGTATTCAACGTTGTTCGAGATGTGAACAACTAATACTTTTATCAGAAGTGGATAAACATCGTGAGATGCCTGGATTATGTGTTCCTGTTCTGATCAAATGTACTTTTTGTCAAAATTACATTGAAAAGCCACTTTTCCAAGACCATTTCAATGAATGTCTTATAAAGTATAACAATGCTTCCTTTGAGAAGATTGCTCAAGATTATAATGCACAAACACCAGTAAACAATCAACCAACATTACCTCTGATTAATGTTCAGACATCAACTCGAAATCGGTTGAATATGATGAACTTGCATAAACAACAACAACGAATGGCACAAAAAACAACAAATTTGATTGGATATGATGCAGTTAGAGAAGCACAAGTGCGAAGATGTGGCGTCTTTTATCATATTCTTCTGATGTTAACATTCATTTTAGCCAATGGCTTCAAAGCTCCTTACCTCATTTTTCAAATTTTTTTAGCTGGATTTTTTAACATTGCGTATTATATTGGCATCACGCATATGGTCTTCCTTATGTGGGCTGGCACTCAAATTTATCTAGGTTTTTGTGTAATTATGCTGTATAGTTACATCTTAACTTATGGAATTTCATTAGTTTTTCGATTTGCATCTGATTCGTCGATCATTTATTTTTTTAGTCTCTTCATATTTCTATGTGGTTGTTCTATGGAAATATCATTAAAATCATTGGAAACGAATTCAATGAATTATCCAACAGCAAATATTTTTCGCTGTTGTGTAAGTCTATTAATTATGAAGATAATATTGTTATTCTGCCGACTTTACTATTGGTTCATACCAATATACTGGACAGCTGGAATTGTTGGTTACATCAGTTTCTATATTGCATGTCACATAAAAATATCTTTTGCAGGGGCATGCTGTCATCTCTGATTCAAAATATATCAACAATTATAAGATAAAAACTATGCTTTATATACGACTTAGTTTAAACAGTTTTGAAAATATTTGTTATACTTTATGAAAAGTAAAATAATCTCGATTATATAGTTGTGAAAATAAATGACGGGGATGGGTTTGCTAGCTTAAATGGCCCTATTTAAAAATTTTGAGAAAATCTCAAACAATTATATGTCATATGTAAGGTAATTAAGCCTACAGTTGAAACAAGTAACGCTCGTCTGTGTGACTCGCTTAACCCTCGACTGAATATTTCACTGCATCGGTAGTTGTTTATTGCTGCAGACGTTTTGTAAAAGGTAGCATCTGGCGTTTGCACATGGCTTTGTGCTGGTGTCAACATTAATGTGCACATCTGTGTCGGCGTGTACAGTGCTGTTGGTATCATTGTGATACTGCCGGCTATACCATTCGTTCATTTAATCTGTTACTCTATCAGTAACACTCAAAAGAAATCCACGCGACTCACACTGACGCAGCAATATCCTCAGACCACGAAAAAAAAAATAGTATATTCGATTTGCAGAGAAAATCAACACACAAAATATATCAGTGTGACTGCAGTAAAGATGCCCTACACTTTTCGCAAACTATACTAATAATGTGTATAGTCATCAACACATAGGCTGGTAATATCACTGGCCGGTACTCCCTACGAAAATACGTATTCAGCGGAGCTATCAGACTAAAAAGTATAATTGTTCAAACTAATATTCGGTATATGCAACTTAAATGAGGCTTCAACTCTGAATCTTTGTGGGATTAAACAATGAATTTCAAATAGCCGGGAAAAAAATTTGACAAGTTAATAGACAGACGACGTATCTATGAAGACAAAAGATCATTTAATTCATTCCATTCAAATCTACTTTTAATGATTCGATGTAAATTGTTTTATTGACGTTTTTTCGGAAAGGTTCGATTCCGATACTGAAGACGTTCTATACACCTGTTCTCACAACTTCACTCAAATATACTTATTAGCCCTCTTGCCAGTTCTCCCTCTCATGAAAACTAGTAAGATCTAAACTGTAGAGATTCTTCCAATGGATTGGAAGTTTCTGAAGCGTTCTATTCAAGAGATTTCTTAGGACAGCAGTAAGGCGCTCGTCAGCACCCCAGTGGGGCGCCACTCGCGACTAACTGCTGCTATGCATCGTTCTCTTCCAGTAATTATACGATCATGTAGTGTCATTTAAATTTTACTGGATTCTACGTTTGGCTAAGTTTCAAAACTGCCTATATTTATTACATGAGCAATTCAAAAGTGAAAACACTTGTGAACTATTCCTTATGCGTTTCAATCCCTTACCTAGATACTCAATCTGAGATTTCGTTGAACTTGTCGTCGAAAGAAGCTTAAGTACATTATTCCATACAAAAAATGAGCTTAATAGACCATATCTCACACAAAAAAATTGTGAAATAGGAATATGAGCTACTATATTTCACTATCGGAGTTCCGACGTCGCGCTACTCACACTTAGCTACTACCGTCTTTGATCACATATTCCCAAATGACTACTTTCTTATTCAAGGCATGACTAATCCACATTTCAACTGCTTTAAAAGCTTCTCTACTTGTAATTAAAGAGTACTACATTTCCTATATCAAGCAAGATATCTTTTAAATACATACTTGTCATCTATCGAGTTTCTCCATGTTTATAGGAGCCCTTCTTTACATAAAGTGTCATTGGTTAAGTCTCAGTGGTGCTTTTCTAAGAACCTTGCCTGATGTTATGCAGAAATGTCGTAAAACAGATTTTGAATAAACCTAGTTTGGTGGCAGCTACTCGTTCGCCAGTCTCCCAAAAGGACGGCATTCACGGCTAGCCACTACTTCCAGCTACTTTACACTCACGAAAGGTTGATGCCATTTTCATAATCGAGCCATCGTTCCTGTTTGAAAAACTGATGAAAAGTTTGATCCGTTACAAAAAAAATTCCTCTACATTAGAAATTTTCTTTGGAAGTTTATCAGTATATAGGAATAGGACACGTTGATATAGACTTACTGATAATCTGAAATCTTCTTAATAAGTGGACACAACCGTTGTATCCTGTCAACCTAAGTAATTTTTTTGCGTAATTTGCTCTCATTCCTCAATCTTTGTTCTACAAGTACTCTAATTCCATCTTATCTTCGTATTTCTTGATTCATTACACTGCTGTCACGCATTACAAAGTACTTACAGTTTCTTAGCATCACTTCTCAGAGAACGAAAAGATTCGAAATCTGAATTTTGAAATCCAGATTTTAGATTCGGATTTTTCACCCTCGATAACCTACGGCAAAGTTCGATCAAAACGGTCAAAAGTCTTAAAATTAGAAAGTTCGTTTCTGATTGGCCGGTTTTCGATCAATGGAACTTTGACCAAAGAAATGGACTTCGGACTTGGAATCAGAGCCCTCGATAACCTATAGCAAAGTTCGATCGAAACGGTCAAAAGTCTCAAACTAAAAAAGTTCGTTTCTGATTGGCCGGTTGCTGACCAATGAAACCTCGGCCAAACAAATGGACTTCTGATTCAGATTCAGGGCCCTTGATAACCTATAGCAAACTTCGATCAAAACGGTCAAAAGTCTTAAAATAAGAAAGTTTGTTTCTGATTGGCCGGTTTCCGACCAATGAAATGACGGCCAAAGAAATAGGCTTCGGATTCGGATTCAGCGCCCTCGATAACCTACAAGCTATTTTTTTTATATGACCCTCCCTACAGTCGAGGAAATATGATCATTGATGTTTAAGCGGATGTTCTTTTGACCTTGTGACAAGCAACAAGCAAACTATTTTTTTTCATATGACCCTCCTTTCAGTCGAGGGAATAAACGAAAACTACGGTCGGGACATAACTTTTCTACCGGTTTTACATCTGTCCCAAATATTCACCAGAACTATGAGCCTATGCATTGTTAGACAGCTATCCATGACACCTACTTCTTCCTTATTCGACGAGACACCGGCGCTATTTTTTCTACATAGATAACCCTAATAGAGTGCTACAATATTGCAATGACATGAAGCTTTAAAATGCTTAGCTACTATTCTTTGACAGTACCATAATGGTACTAGAATACCATATATAGGGAGGTTTGGTCAGGTCAAGCATTCAAATGTTTGTTATTCCAATAGACACCGACACCATTTTTTCTACATAGATAACCCTAATAGAATGCTACAATATTGCAATGACATGAAGCTTTGAAATGCTTAGCTACTATCCTTTGACAGTACGATAATGGTACTAGAATACCCTATATAGGGGGTTTGGCCATGTCAAGCATCCAAATGTTTGCCATTCGAACAGACACGGGTCTCATTTTTTTCTACATACACAACTCTAATAGAGTGTTACAATATTGTAAAGATGTTGGGCTCTGAAAATCTTGGGAAGCGCTTCACCTTGTCACTGTAGAAACATAGATTTAGTATCAAGTGAACATAATTGTTACAGGTAATTACAACATTACGGAAAGACTGTTACTGTTTTTTCAAAGAAATTCAATTCTAGTTCTTTTTGTTGATATCGTTTCTATCAAACTGTGAATGCAATTGACAGCCGAGGTTCTAAATATTTGAATTTTTCTGCTGAACATCAATTATGAAATTATCACATCATTAAGTAAGAAAAGTTTTTTTTATAGAGACTGATTATTGGTCTGTTATTATGTAAGTCTGTTCGAATAGCAAACATTTGGATGCTTGACCTGACCAAACCTCCCTATATATGGTATTCTAGTACCATTATGGTACTGTCAAAGAATAGTAGCTAAGCATTTTAAAGCTTCATGTCATTGCAATATTGTAGCACTCTATTAGGGTTATCTATGTAGAAAAAATAGCGCCGGTGTATCGTCGAAAAAGGAAGAAGTAGGTGTCATGGATAGCTGTCCGACAATGCCTAGGCTCATAGTTCTGGTGAATATTTGAGACAGATGTAAAATCAGTAAAAAAGTTATGTCCCGACCGTAGTTTTTGTTTATTTCAACTGTAGGCTTAATTACCTTTCATATGATATATAATTGTTTGAGATTTTCTCAAAATTTTTAAATAGGGCCATTTTAGTTAGCAAATCCACCCCCGTCCTTTCTAAAAATTTCGAGTGCTCGGAATAGCGACCATTCGGAGCCCCGCGAACTTGATCCGTTGAAACCACCGAAATTCATCGAAGATGGGTACGTCGAGGCCATCGAATTTGTAGATTGTTATGTCGTCTCTTT